GTGTGTATGTATACATTTATGTGTGTATGCACACATAAATGTGCATTCACACATAAACTGTATGTAGATGTACATTTACGTTTATGAATATATTCTGGTATTATATAATTCAGTAGGTTAACAGATTGTTGTTTTAGTCTTTATGAAATTGTGACAGAATAAGGGAAAAGAAGAATTTACTATTATTTTTAATAAGCTTATGAGAAGGGTGGGATTAATTAAGTTTTTTTACTTCTTCCCATTCCTTTTCAAATATGTTAATTTTGTTATCACTTTTTATCATATTTTGTTTTGTATACATGTTTGAAGTAAACTAACAGTTATGTACAGTATAGCGTTATTGGTTATTGGAATATATTCTCTTGATTTAAAAGTATTAGACCACTATCATAAATTCAAGGCTGCTTTTAGGGATTGCTTATTTAAAGGAAGATAATGTTAGGGAGGAGAAGGTGCTTTTTGTTTAATTGGTTATTGGTTTGTGGTGTTCCCTGGACATACRTGTACACGATGTAGTGTTTTGAGAGATGCAGCCAGTTGATTTATGTTTTCAGGTTTTCAAGTCAGTGTTCCTTGTTTATGAGGCTTACGTGATTGTATTGATGTGTTTCAGTTTTGTATGTTGGGCCCCAGGAACAGTAGTCTCTACCTCGGCGGAGACTAWTGGGGACCCATTAATAAAAATATAAAAATACTTGGTAAAATTACAAATCCTCAAAAAATTACTTACTTACTATACACCTCTGATATCTGCAAGTACAAATAGGATCAGAACACTGAAGCTACCACTACGAGCTCACCGCAATCCCTACGGCAGTGTGTTCCTCGTCACACACTGTCCTGATGTTTCRCTGCTTCAGGTCAGACTAAAGTTTAACCTGAGGACATTCTGAGAAGATAATTAAACTATTTGAATCAGGTGTGCTGAAGCAGGGAAACATGCAGGACAGTGGGTGAAGAGGAGCAGAGCAGAAGACCTCTGGTTTAAATCGAGTGAGTGAAACAGGATAGTGGGTGGATGTTGTGGAGGGTGAACTGATGTTTGTTGTGCCAACCAGCGGTGGGGTGTATAAAGCTGGCTCTAAAAACTTCATTAGATGGGGCACTCATAAGTCAAGGAACTTATTATAAATCTGACATTATTACTGAATAAACTGTAGTTAAAACAGCATCTTCTGCTTCTTTTCTGTCTGCTGTTGGCAAAATGTAGTAAATAAAACGTGCCCCTGGTAGAAGTGATCACCTGTAAATATCACTGCTCTTGTATCCWTTTAAAATGTATATAACCTGATAAATTAGTATCAATACATGTAGTGTTACCCTCCATCAGCAGCTAGAAACACTCAGAATTGAACAGCCTGCTGTGAAAAAAGACTGAAAGGATATGTGATGAGGTAGCGAGCCAGCCTCTTTCGCTCAGATGCAGGAATGTTGTAGAAAAAAACCCGAACTCCCATCATGAAACTGGGGAGTTCTGCAGAGCTGGAACAGTGGGGCGGAGCCGAGGGGCCCGGGGCCTCTGCTGCCTCAGGGGCCCGTGGCGTGGCTGGGTTCTTCACAGCTCTGCTGTGATAATATCTGTCAGTTAGGTTTAGTCAAATAACTTTAATAAACACAAATTACTCTGCAAGTGTACATGAGCAAGTGGTCAAAAACTGGAAGCCAGAATGACACACAGAAAACCCAGTCCAGTTCTCAGGTACATAATCTCTTTCAGATCTAAAGATTMATTTCACCCACAGCCTGTGTGGCACTTGGCAGTTTGCATCATTCATCATAACACTACTTTTTAACATGTCCAGAACTGAGTCAAAGCTCCTGAACATGTCGTCACTTATCAGGTGACTCAGTTCTCAATCCAAACACTGAACTCTCAGATGTAGACTCTCTGCCAGAGATTTTTCTCTTCCATGGTGTTCTGCTCCGCAGCTCACATGGAGTGCGTAATTATGGAGGATGTTTGACCTGCTCTGTTCCTCGTTACACTGTTACAGTTCATAACCTTCCTTGTTCTGATTCACAGCAGCAGGTTTGTTGTATTAACATTTTTAACCAGAGTATCCTCCTCTCCGGTTTTATGAAATGTCGGTGTCTGGAGTGCGTAATTATGGAGGATGTTTGACCTGCTCTGTTCCTCGTTACACTGTTACAGTTCATAACCTTCCTTGTTCTGATTCACAGCAGCAGGTTTGTTGTATTAACATTTTTAACCAGAGTATCCTCCTCTCCGGTTTTATGAAATGTCGGTGTCTGGAGTGCGTAATTACGCATTTCAGGCTGTGAGTGTTTTTTGTTA